TTATTTGTTGATAAAAATTCTGAAAAGAAAGTATGAGGAATATATTCCCTCTTCCTGGGATTCTTCAGAATATGGTTAAACCACCTCACAGGTAGGAATATTTGCACTCACGTACCTAGGAACAAATGGTTCTGCTGTTCTTGACAGCACTTTGTGATTTTTTTAGCAACTTCTTTATGGAGTACTGAAGTAAATGTCTGTTTCTAAGGTTTTTTACTCTGGACTTGTGAGAGAATTAGATATGCAGGAAAAGTGGGGGGAAAATGAACAGAGAAGAACTTAAAATATCTATGATGATCAGAGGTAACTTAATAAACATTTGGTAGTCCATCCAGAAACAGTATGACTTTGACTGAAATTTCAAAGGTCAGTTTTAGTTGTGTACAAATTATTCAGTGTGTCTGACACCAGGAGGCATCGGGTTTCTTGCTGATCAGAACTTGCCTCTCTCCTGTTGTGTCCTGGCTGAAGAATTGTCAGGGAAGGAAATCTGTGTTCTTAATTCAGCAAAATCTGTTAGCACGAGGCTGGCCCTGCTGAACCCTGTGGTATCAGGGGCTTGGTAAAAGCCAGTAGGAGCAGGACAGTTTTTGGACTGTTTAGTTCTGTAAGGTTTTTTAAATCTTTGGAAATTCTTCTTTTCTTCTGAGGGTGGAGAGCTGCTTTCTGCTCGGAGAGGTAATTATAAGCCCCAAGAGCTCTTGGTAGAAAATTTCCCCTTCTATCAGTCCTACTCGCTACAGGAGGCAAAAGGCTTAGCATAAAAAAATAAAATCTTTTATTTGATGAACACTGGAATAGCGTCAATGGCGTTTTGAGATCAAGGCATTTTGAACAATGCTTTAAACTCTCACCTCCTTAGTGAATATGTAACCCTGCAAAACTGGCAGCAGCAAATGGAGTGTCTCTGTTTAGCAAAGGCAGTGGAAAAAGTGGGGCAAACAATTACAAGAGTGAGCTCAACTCCATGTAGGATATTAAGAGAAAATCTTGAAGAAAAGAATAGTGGAAAATATTTTATTCTGTTTATATACAAACTAAGTTCTCTCATCATGCCACCATAACTTGCTGTTATTTGATAGAATATGAGTTTTCTAGATAAGCTAAACTTGACATTTTCTGCAAGTTGGTCATGTAACTGAAATAGCACCACTTAATTCTGATTATAGGTTTAAAAATGCTGAGTATTGTGACTGTAGCACAGGCTAGGAGATGTGGAAATGGGTCTGTCATCTTGTTGGTGTGAACTGCAGTGATTTATCAAGCTGCTTTTTGTACAGAAGCATCTGTTTCTGAGCTGCTCCTTGAAAAGTTCTTGTCCACATATAACAAATTTTTCCCTCTCCCAAGCATGTTGTTAAAATTAAAACCTGCAGCAATGTATAAGGGTTTATAATGTCAATGAATTTTCTGGTCCCATTGCCTGTTTGTTATCGAAGCTTGTCTATCAAAAGCTGGCTTCTCCCAGCTTTTACCATAGCTTGTTGTGTTAATATACAGGCACTTGAACCAAAAAAAAATATATATATCTATATATAAAATAGTGTTACCTGCAAATGTCCTGGACTTCAGGCCCGTTCTGAGTCCATCCCATCGCACGGATCTTTTTCTGGAGATAAACAGCCCTTCTGACTGCTGCCTCGTACTTTTCATTCTGGCTCTGGAAGTACTGATTTTCTTGGCTAAACACGGGGTCGCTTTCAATAGCTTCAACTGGAGGGCAATGTGGGATAGCAACAGGTTGGTTAGTTCAGCAGCAAGAGAGGCTTGGACAAGAGACATGTTTGAGGGGGAAGGAGCACTGGGGAGTCCAGCAGTGCTGTGATAGCGATTGCTGTTAAGGCAAGCGGAGAGGATGAGCTTGGAGCATGAAAGGCACTTCCCTGCTTAGTGCACAGGAGGTGGCTTTATTCCTGGAGAAATTTTCTTCAGATAAAAAGAGATCTTACAAATCTGGCTGTTTCTAATTGGTGTTACTGTGATTAGAAAGTGTTGCAATTTTCTGAGTTTTGCATAGAGGAGGCTAGAGGGGAGAGCAGCCCAGGTGCCCGCCACAGTGTCCTGCTCTGCAGTGGCAGCTCGGCTTGGATGGGACATTCAGCGCGTTAGGGAGCAGCTCTCTGGTTTGCTCTTCCTGCATCAGACTGGACAAGCCCACTGGTCCCTTTTTGCCTTGAAACCTTTAAGTCGATTTGCATTTAAGATGTAGTTAACTAGAGTTGTGCCCTAAGGTGCATAATTGCCGCAGCTTGAGCGCTTTTCCTTCATTCAGAACGTGATACAGTTGTGTTTGCAGTGTCACAGGCGCATCCTTTACTCGCTCCCAGCAAAGTCCCTCTCAGGATCCATATCACAAGCAAGGAAACCTCAGCCTCACCGAGCAAACCCTGTGGCAGAGCCAGGACACATGAGGTATTTCCCACTGCCAGGTCGGCCTTGTTAAGGAGAGCTGTTCTGCTTGCGTTAAAGCCTAATGTGCATCCTGTCTCTGTGCAGCAGCACCGACTCCCCTGCAGGAACAGAGCTTCTGCAGAAAGGCTTGCTTTGTGTTCTAGTTTAACCAGTCTTGCCAGAAACCTTGGGGATGAGAGCAGGGATAGGGAAAAGCTTTGGGAAGACAGCCGGGTGTAAACGGGTGGAGCTGAAGCAACTGCGAGAGAGCCCAGCTGATTTACATGAGCTGGGGGCACTAACTCTGCTCCGTGCCTTTCTTAAAAGCCAGGCAATAAGCAAATGTGCAGGAATGCAAAGAGATTTTGAGAAAAGGAGGAGCAGCAAGGAGCGTGGGCAGGTTTTGCGTGTGCCGGCGAGCACAGACATCCTCGGGCTGACTCACCGATGGCCCTGCGGCCGCGCGTGCGCTCGGCCCCGCCGTCCAGGCTGGCCGTGAGCAGCTCCACGCTGAAGGAGGCCGCCAACCTCTCGCTCGCCAGGTCGGGGTTCATTCCGCCCGGGAGTGCGTCCCGCGAGCCCAGCGGGGCCATGGTGCAGCCGGGCCGCTCTGCGCAGGGGACGGCGCTCCTTAGTCGTCGGCGTCGCGTTAATCGGCTGCCCGTGTCTTGCTTCACCTCGTGGCCTTGGGGCTTCGGGCGCTGACGGGGCTTTTGTACCCGCACGGGAAGGCTGGGTTATCTGGGGCTTGGCCTCCCTGCCTTGGCACCGGGCAGCTTGCTGCAGCTACCGCAGAAATGGAGCCCTGCAGTCTGCAAAGAGAGCTGGATGTGTACATGTGTACTTTGCACACAGCAGGGCAGGACAGTTTGCAGAGGGGAAAAAAAAAAAAAAAAAAAAGGAGGATTTACATAAGAGTTTAAGCACTGTCTTGTCTTCACTGCAACACTACGGGGTATGAAAGTTTAGAGTACTCTAAGGGCTCAAAATGGAGGTTTTATGATTTATGTATTGCATCAAAGCTGCCTTTTTGTCACTCGTGCCAGTCTGCCAGTTCCCAGTATTTTATAAGAAGGAAGTATTTGCACATCCTCCAATTAGACATTAATGCCTGTGAGGGTTTTTAAGCATTGCGAGCTCCGCTCCCTGCACCAAGCAACCCGGGCTGCTTGTCCTGACGTCAGGCCGCGCTCGGCAGCTCCTTCCTGCGCTGCTCCGCTCTGTCCCACCTCCTTCCCACAGAGCTGTTTTGCGTTAGCCTCTAACTCTGTTCTTCCCTTTTTAGCCACGCTTAGTGGGGGCCGCGACTTGTTCCCGGCTCCTGCTTTCCTGCTGTTCAGGCCTCTACTGGGGGCATCCAGGGCAGAGAGGGAGGATTCCGGCTGGCACTCCGAGGGAGCAGCAGCAGCAGCCGCGCGGCTGGAGGGGAGGCCGGACGTGCAGGGCCGCGGTGGCTGAGGGCCCATGGCGCGAACGCGGGGGTCACGTACCTTGTCCCGGGTGTCCCTGGGGAGGCGGGTGCCCGGTGCCGCTGGCTCGGCCACGCTTCCCGGCGTTCCTGGTGCGGGGACCGTTGTCCCCGGGGGCGGCGCGCGGCGCCATGCGGGCCGCACCTGACCTCTGCCGGCGGCCGGCAAGCCGCCAAAGCCCGCTCGCCAAAAGCCTCTGTGCGGGGAACATGCCGCTTTTCTGAGCTAGCTTTGGGCTCCACACGTTGCAGTTTTAGCTCATACGCACCCGGTGTTGGTGCTGGGTGCTGCATTGTGTGTGTGTGACCTGTGTTGATGTGAACCGTCCTGCTCTGAGCTTTGTTTTTGTCATCTGTCTGGGCTGAGTGACTCTGCTTGATTTGTCAAGCTTAGATGGGGTCTTGGTTGTCGCTAAAACTCTTTTAAAATGTTTAAAAATAATAAAGGGGACTCGTAGTGTAAGGATTATATTCCCGTTAAGAACTGATTTATCACATTAATCCAAGTGCAAGGTGGCCCTTTGGCTTTGTTTTGCTTTGCCCTGCTAGGCAGGTGGGCCTGTTTCACCAGGAAGAAATTTAACATATAGAGAATATCAGTGAATATCCCATGCACAGCACCCGATCCTGCTTTTTTTTGTGTCCTAAAATTTTCAACCTATTGAGCTGGAATTTGTGAATGAGCAAAAGATGCAGCACTGAGCACAAAAAATGAAAATGTGTGTTGATGAGTAAGTTTACACAGTACTAATGAACAAGTCACTGTCAAACTTCAGTGGTTTTTATTTTTAATAATTTCATTTGGCTTCTTGTCTGCTTGCATCCTTGGAGCCTTTTTTTTTTTTTTCAATTCTGTGTGGAAAAGAGCAAAATATACAATCATCACATAGTTTATTTCCTCAGAAGGGTGTGCATTAAACAGTGAGCATTGACATTTGATTGAGTACAGTGTGAAATATATATATTTTTATAGCTATAAACACAAACACAGAATATAGGATTATCTATCACATAGGCAGTATATGCAGTGCAAAAAATACTTTGAAAATCTATATATTTTGGACAACATCACATTTCTTTAGGAAAGTGTTTTAGGGACATAAGGAGATAGACCCAAAATTCTGGAATTCATTTAACAGAAAACAGCATACAAAGATTTTCCCAGATCTTTTCCTGTTAATGTCAACACTGGTCATTTTTTCTTTTAGGTGAAATTGTTTGTCGCTCGAGTCAAGTACTTTTCTGCAGCACTGCAGCCACAGATACTGGCCACACAAAGAGTGTCCAGTGAAGGTTTTATGGACCCTTAGTCCGTGTCCAGCAAAGGAGGCAGTTTTCAGTTTATGAAGGTGAGAATGTGCTTGAAAACGATGGGGTTTTTAAGTGAACACTGCAGCAGTCCTGTGTTATGGGGCCGTGCAGAGCTGCCCGACGGGGCTTCTTCATGGCCCGTTTGCCAGTGGGTTCCCGGGAGCATCCCACGAGCCTGATGCCGTGACCTGTTTGCCAGTGGGTGCCCAGGAGCCTGCAGGGATTTCTTTTGCCTGCCTGAGTTTAGTCTGAGCTGGGGCAGTGAGATTTGGCCTCCGTTTGGGCACAAGCTGCAGGGTACAAGTGCCAGCCACCCGTGCGTGTCCGTGTGCTGCCCGCTCTGTGCTTGGCAGCCACCAGGCCAGAGGCTGCTGCCTTAATATTTTTCACATTATTTCAGTGTGCTCAGGAGCACTGTTGTATTTTTCTGGCTTTTCTTTGCTCAGATGAGTGCTCAGTTTACCCAGGCATTTTGGAATGGCTTTGCACCCACGAACTTGCATAAATGGTCCTATCCAACACTGATTTCAGCGGTGACTAACATTGTTCTGTTCTGGGGTTGATTTAATCTGTGGCAAAACTATAGGTTCTAGGGCTTCGTTGTTGTTCTGAGCTCTTTGATGAAAATCATTTACTCTGTACCCCTCACAAAAGCCCAGCTCAGTAAGTTCTGGTCTATTATTTAAATTGATGATATTTATAGGATATCGTATAATGCTCTCTACAACCATATAAAGGCATTTTTAGCATCACCTTTTTCTCTTGGAGAAATTTGGCATCCCCCCTTCCCTCTGCTGCTTCCATGTGGGCTCTTAAGCTACCTGAAAAGCCACACAGTTGGAAAGGGCGTAATTGCTCCGTTCAGATCTTGATTGACCCGTAGTGACTGCGTGCACTGGATTTCTGAAACAAAAACTTGTTTAGATTAAGCGTGATGAGTGTGGGGCTAAAAATTACCATGGAGTTAGTGCTATAAGGTGGAACTCTTGAGATCTAAGATCGGGCTAAGGGCTCCTGTAATCTCAGACCATCCTAGTAGCTACGTAGCTGCATCACCCACTTGACATGTGGTGGAGTAACTCATGTTTTCCTCAAGTTGACAGGTTGAGCAAGAGTGAATCAAAGATGAAATACCCTGCTGGACTGGAGAAAACTAGGGAGTAGACTAATAAGTTCTTAATTAACAAAGATGTGTTAAATGCCCAGTTTCCCTTTATTCATAGATGGATCCCCTGCAGATGTGGATAGTGGATATTGTTTGATCAGGTATTGCCTTCCCAGCTGGCTGAGTCCATTGAGTTTCACTGTTCAAGAACCACTTTTCAAAGGCAGTTGGTGAGTACACTGTCTAGGCTTTATATGAGGGCTGAGGTGAGAAGCAGGAAGATGAGCTATTCCTGAAGGAGACATTTTAGCTCTAGATGAGGGCACCCTCAAGGCACAGGTGCTTTTGAAGAAAGAGTCCAGCAGTTTTGAAGATTTTCTACTCAGGTACCCCATAAATATGGTAGGCGCTGACCATAAGCGGTGCAAAGGCACCATCTCTCCCAGCTTTCTTCTGCTAGCAGCCAGGAGAACTTCAGCTTTGCAAAGTGGCGACTGAAATGAAGCAGTTCTGACCTCAGGGAAGGGAGAAGAGAAGCCCTGTCAGCCCTGATTTGCAGCAGTATCTATGGGTCCAGGTGGCAGCTGTGCTGCAGGCTGGGCACAGAGGTTACAGGACAGCAGGGTGACATTGCCACCTCTCGGCCACTGAGTGTTTTCCCCTGCGTTGCTGAGGTTGCAACGTGTCCAACTGCTGGGTGAGGGGCTGAAACTCAGTAGTCCAGGGGCAAGAGGCAGTTTCACCTCTCTGCTGCTCTGACCTTCCCTATCTGCTGCTGGTTGCTGAGCCAGCACCATGAGTACTGAAAACACCCCCAGCCTTTGTTTGCTGCCCGTAGCAGTTTCCTCCTACTTGGAGCATTCGTGGAATAGTCCAGTGTATTTTCTACCTGCTCATGGAACAGGCTAAATTGCTTATTCAAACAGGTTTGAAATGCAGTTTGATGCTCCTGATGAACCGTTGCACCTTTCTGCCTGTGCTGGATGTCTGTGGGGACGCAGAGGTTGATTTTTCTAACAGTTTAATAGTAGAGCTGTGCTGCTCAGATGCACAATATCCGTGAGGTTGACTTGCATAGTGGTACAATACCTGTAACTCATGGAAAAGCCGTTGTGGTCACCGTGTTTGTTCTCAGTAATAAGCAGATTGTCCCTCTTGGTTGTCATGCAAAGGCTTCCATGAGCTGCCCAGGGCTGCAGCAGCCTTCCTGCTACCCCGTGCTCAGCGAGCCTGCCTCTGGGCTGATGTGACAATACTCAACCCTCCACAGGCTTCTCGGGCTTAAACATTCACTGTGTCCCAAGGGTCAACCAAGAGTTAGCTGGAGGTTAGTATCCACCCACAGTCTGGGGGAAAAGGGACCTCATTTCTCTCCGCAGCTTCTCCTGTGAGTACTTCTAGCGAATACTGCACTTGTTCCATTATGATACCTTCCTGGGATGGGAAAACCTTTTTTATGCATTCTACTGGAGCAAGCATTAATAACAGGAAATAGCCCCAAAGATGTGGCTGTGAGCGCTGACCGGGTACACGATGCCAGTGGGTGTTAGTGCCGTCCTTGGGACGATCCCTTTTGCGTTTTGGCAGGAGCTATGCTGCTTTCTCCTCCCCACTCACTGTCGATGTCCTCCTCAGGTTTTCTTTGACTTTGATGAATTCTGGTGCATGGTCTTCCTGCTTCTCTTGTTCTTTCTCCAGCTGAAATGCAAACAGTCATCATTATCTGTGCCCACTCAAGGATAAAACTGCAATTCATTAGCTACATTCAAATGGCTGGTTTCATTAGTGCTCAGGGTCCAGTTGTTATTGCCCAGAATTGAATGACTCTGTAGGTCACATGTTGACTCACTCTCTTTTTCACCCTTAGTTTTCCTGGCTCACAGAAACGTTTGTTCTTTTCTCCAGTTGAAAAGGTGGAGAGTGCTCCTCACTCCCAAACTGGCATGGGAGAGGGAGGAGGAGGCTTGAATCCCTGCAAAGGGAGCCTGTGAGCCAGGGAAATGTTCCTACCACTGGGTTGTCATCTACAGGTTGTACTGCTTCTCTATGCAGAGTCTTTATGGATCTGTCCCTAAGTGACTCAGTTTCATATTTCTGATTTTTCAGTGTTGGACTTTGATTTTTGTGTGTGGTCTTGGCTTGGTTGATAGTGCAAGAGATCTTCTGTGCTATTAAAGCCATTTTATCAATTTTATGTGCAGGTATTGGTGAATGGGACAAGGAATTACTTTATTTCCGAAAGAAGCAAATTAACTTGCCCAGCCTGTGTGTCACCCTTCTTGCTGCCCTCCTGGTCTGCTCTGGCCAAGGCACCATTCCCCTGGCAATGCCCAAGGATGGGTTTAGCTTGTGTGCATGTTGAGAGCTACGTTCTGTGGCTCTCATTTCATGCAGGGGCAGCAAAGTCGTGCTTTGGGTTGAGCCCCATTGTACCCCTCTGCTCTCTGGTCTGTGCCTTGCACAGGGGTTTAGGTAACCTGGCGATGCCTAAAAACTTGATTCTACCTGATCCAGCCTCTGGTGCCTCTTTAATAACTCTTTTTCGAAAGGTGACTGCAATTTCTTCGCCTCTTCCTCTTCCTTCTTCTGTCTGATGAGCTGGTTTCGCCGCCGGTGCTCAAGGACCCTCTGCAGCTCTGGCTTGCTCTCCACTCCCAGGCCTCTGTGGATGAAGAGAAGATGTGTCAGGGCTAGAACACCATCACCCTCCTGTTTAGCCACCAGAAGTCTGTCCTCAACCCTGAAGGGAAACATGGAGATCCAGGCCACAAATCCACCTGGAAGGGTTTGAGTAGGGAGCACTTTGGTGCCTTTGGAACCATGGAGGCTGCCCTGAGGTGTAGGAGGGTTTGAGAGGCCTCTTTTACTGTCCTGCTGCAGCTTTCTGTGGTGGGAATGGAAATGCCATTACTAGTTTTAATTATTTCAGGAGCAGCTTGAGCTGCATTTAGGGAATTTTTGTTTTCCACCAGCAGGGGTAGTCATTGAACTGCAGTAATTGTCCTGGCAGTTCATTTCCTCCTCTTGCATCCAGATTTGCTTTAGCGCTGGAGATTAGAGTGAACCTTGATAACGTGGAGAGTTTGGACTTAGAGGCTGAAATGAAAGGTGCTTTTCTCTTGGAAGCAAGAGCATTTGCTGATGAAGGGGGCACCTGGCTCCCCTTCAGCCCTGTCAATGCATCTGAAAGAGGGACTGCTAAAATCCTGTTTTGTTAGGGACAGGATTGCTGGACAGGAGAGGTCATGAGGACACTTCAGGGGTAAATATGCAGCAAAGAGCTGGAAAGCGTTCCCTGAGTAGACTTCATAAAGCTAACACTTCACAAGTTGCCATGACCGAATCTAAACACTAAGATTTACCTTTTGCAAATGGCCCTGGCCACTGTCCTAGCAGCTGCTGCGCTCCTGAGATCATGGAAGTAGCTGTGCATGTGAAGGGATAAGGGTCAATGGGGAGAAAGTCCAGATGTGCTTGGTGTGGCTCATGGGATGGTTCCTGCCCTTCCAAGATGCAGGTTCAGCAGTCTTACCTCCTCCCTGATAAAAGGACTCAGCCTTCTGCAAAACCCATAAACTTTCTGGCTTAAACCACTAAAACTGGTGACTCTGTGCCCTGTTGTGAGTCCTAGCCCATTCACTGAGCAGGCCTTGCTAGCAACACAGAGCTTTTTGTTGGTAGGAGGTTTCTATTGACTCAAGGCTGGCCGTTTTATATTAAAGTTATTAGAAAGCAGAGGCATCTTGTCCAGTGGACTTTGCACCTTTCTTGGCATGATGTCAGGCACTAGGGTTGTATCTACCATCGCTAGAAGTTTAAGTGGCAGAAAGGTGAGGGAAATACTGTCCAGATGCAGCGAACCACTGGGGAACATGTCTGGGGAACCGCAGTCCCTGGATGCTCCCAGGGAATGGGAATGCATTGAACATTGCTTTCCATTGCCACCTCTTTTCCTGCTTTATGGCAGGACAAAGTTCACAGTTGCATTAGCATAGTTAACAGGAGAATTGACAGCAGAGCTTTTCTAATGTTTTTTCAAGCCAGAAAGAACTCGGGTGTTACAGAGATGCCTCTCCAAAGGCCTGAGAGAAAGTAAATCTGCCCTGGCTTGCAGCAGGCTCAGTGTTTGCAATGGTGCCTCTGGATTTGTTACTGTGCTTTGATTTAGTTGGCCTGTGCTGTTGGTACCCAGAGGTGTTGACTGTGATAAGGTTTTTGTTGCACAAGTCTCTCGCTTGAATTGCTCTGGGTTCTGCCGAAGGGCAAAAAACAACAGCAAAACAGAAACAGGAGCAAGCCAGAGGTCCCTCTCTCTCCTCTTCCCTTTCTCTCCCCTCTATAGTAACATATAGCAGGAGACAAACTGCTGCATTTGACAGTGATTTGCAGGATGTTTACAAGCGCTCTCCTTCCTTCCATCTAGGATATCCATGTCAGCTTGGCAGCTTTTGTGAACCGACTGACAGTATTTGATTGTCTCTGGAACCCAGAGACACCAGAAGAGACTATAAAAATTGATCTAAATCTGACAAGGCTTCATAACCTACACCGGATGATTAAAGGTTTGAGTACTTCCAGATTTTAAATCAAGGAAAAGAAGGAATTAAAACAGGTTAAATATTTGATTAAAGATCTAATTGTAAGCAACTTGAAAAGGTAGATGCCTGTTTGCAATAGGCTTTGTTTTACATATTTGTGGAAATAATATTTGGGAAGCCTGAACGTGAGCAAGGTTAAATTGGTGTCCACAAGCAGTGTCTCTCTCTGAGAAGTACAGGACTAAAAGGAGAGGAGGTGGCAGGATGGTCGTGGTGGGGCTGCCTTCTGCCAGTGTCTGATGCAAATGTGGCCATGACGTGGTGGCAGGAATAGGACTCAAATAGCAAATGATGGAGTACGTCACTGTTTGCTTGCTCTGATCCATGTCCCAGGGTCTGTGCCTTGTCTTTCCTGTCACATTATCCTGCCTTTCCTGCCCTGTGGATTAGCAGCGTGCCTCAAGGACTGCCCTGCTGCAAGAGCAATTGTTGCTGTCCCACATCCTGTTGACACCAGTCTCTGCTCCTCCTTGAGCCTAACCAAGCAACCTTATCTGGCAGCCACAAACCTTGGACAAACAGCGGCTGGTATTTCCTTGTTCATCTCTGCTGCTGAAGTTGCAGCGGTTTCGTCATGCTCTGGTCCCCTGTGGTTGGAAGGGGATTGTGTTCTGGGAGATCAAGGCGGTGAGCAGAGCAAGCTGACAAATACTCATTTGAACATTCATGTTCAACATTGATGGGACATCAGGAAGGGGACAGTGGGGTTTTCCTTGCACGCACGGATCTTGGGCCAGGTATTTGCAGCTTCCAGAGCCTGTGGCTCTATGTGTGGGGAAAAAGTGAGCAGCTCCAGAGAGGACTTAGCAGTGCCTCAGAATGGCAGAGATTTTCTGTTTTGCTTTTGTTTTGAAAGAAATTGCTGGGCTGAAGAAGAGAGAAAAGGGGCTACAGCCAAGTTTTATCCCGTGTCTGTAAGTGAAGGGATTTATCATGAGCTTCCAGCTTGTGGGCTGTCTCTGACCATGCAGCAGCATCTGGCTGATGAGCTCAGACTGCTCAACACCTCACAGACTGCTTCAGTGACAGGTGGGGGCTTCTTCTTACCTCTTGTGGTTCATCAGCAGCTCTCTGTGCAGCTCCTGGTGACTCTTGGAGGCTTTTACGGGATTTAGGAGTTTTTTAGGCTTGATAAGATCTGGGTTTCCATCTATGTAGTCTGGGTGAGTCAGGATATTCCCAGTGTCTGGCCGTTCCCTCTGTATTTCAGTGTACATGGATGCTGAAAGAGAAGAGAGGTGTTTGCATGAGAAGTCTCAGTACACTGGAGAACAGGAGCCCACCAGAGCTCTTGTCTGCTGCCAAACAGGAGGAAAAGAGATGGTGTCTGCCCCTCATATCAGTGTGAGGCATTGCTGATACCCCACAGGGCTAATGTTCAGCATCCAGCCCAGTGCCAAGGAAAGCATCACTCACACATGCAGTACAGGATCATGCTGTAATAATTGTGTATGTTCTGGATGTGAGAACAAAGCTCTGCTCTTTCTCAAGTGCCGGCAGCTTGGATTTCAGGCAAACCACAAGGCTGTTGATTTTTTTCCTAAGGACTCTCCATTTCTCCATTACAAAAGAACCTATACAAAGTGAGTGCAAAGTACATATTGCAAGACAAAATACACACAGTGGGCTGTGTCTTTAAGTGTGAAGTGCAGTTGGGCAGACTGTAATTATGTTGGTGTGCAGTCTAATCAGGGGATTTATTCCCAACTACTCACTTGAAAAAGTTGGAAGTTTACCAGTAGGCACAAAAAGTCCCAGGAATAGAGTGTAGGCAGCTCCACATCTGTAAATGTCTCACCATTATAATATTTTGAGAATCAAAATATTTCAATATTTTGAACTTTGTGAAGCTATATGGGTTGATGGTGCAGGAAGGGATGTTGTTTGGTAATTTTGCCTTTTTCTCTTATTGTAGTCTCATGTATAAAAGGAATAAGACCCTGTTAAAAAGAGAAATCAAGAAATCAATAGATAAAGCAAGAGAAAGAAGGTAAGGGTCGGTCTTTCTTAGTAAGCACTTTCTCAAGGTAAAGTGAGTTGCAATCAAACAGGATTGTTTAAGAATTAATGCTGAAGAAACGATTCAACTGCTCGTTCAGTGTTGATGTGGCCAGTGCCCTGCTGCTTTGGGAACAAAGAGAAACAAATCGGAGCCCTTTACAGGAGCGTAACTGGGTGAATCTGATAACTATTTAAAGGGCTCTTGGGAAGCTGGAAACAGTGATTTCTCATATCAAATTATTTTCTTTTAGGATTGATGTCTGGTAGCCAAAAGTGATGCACAAAATGGACCAGTACTGGGCCAGCTCGTGTGCCCATGGGCCACGACTCCATGAGTGCAGGCTGTGGCTCAGTGGTGCCTTCTGGAGAGGTAGGCAGTGAAGAACAGCCAAGGGTTAGCAAAGCACAACTTTTTTTGGCCAACTTCTGTTAAATGAAAGCTAGTTTTCAACCAGTGAGAAAACACAACGGGTGTTCACCAAGGGTAAAATTGCTTTGGTTTGTTTTTCTCATACTTCCTCACTTTTGAGGAGAAAAGGCAGAGGATAGACAAGAAAGGGAGATGTAAAAGCAGAGCTTTGCCTGGGTGGGAATGAAGGGGATGACCTCCCATTTCAGGTGGCAAAACAATGTCTTCCTTTACTTGTCAAACAAGAGAGCTTCTCTCTGAAGTAATGTTGACAAATAACAGATCTTTTAAATGAAAAATGTACTTTCTGAATGGCAGTACAGTAAAAGGCTGGATTTAGTGTCACCATGGCATCCTGTTCCCCTTTTCTTTCAGTGCCCCTTTGCCAACATTTAGAAGAGAGCTGTCCTCTCCTGCAGCAGAGAGCCTGTGTTTGGTTTGTGTGATGGCACCAGTTCCATCACGCTGGTTATGGGTCATTTTGGGGTGGAAGCAGCCAGGGAGGCAGCAGCTCCAAAGGGGTCGAGTAGCCTAATGTGGTTATTTCCAGACTGTAGCAATCCAGCATCGCATGACCCAGGCTTGGGAAATAGAAGCAATTTATCAGACTACTTAGTGAAGGCGGAGAGGGCTCTTTTCCCTGAAGCTAACACAAATGCCCAAAATGCTGGGAAGGAAGGAGTGGGAGGAACTGAAATACACTGGGAACATTTCTGGCCAGGTGGCTGTTAACTCAGCACGCCCAAGAACTCACGGCACCTGTAATTTACCCAAGCAGGACCCAGCAGGTAGCTTTTAGCTTGTTTTTCACCGTGCCAGGTCTGTCCAGGGGTGTGCAGATGCCATCAGGAACGTTTTTGCTCCCTGTGGATATCGGCATCACCACCTGCCAGGTCAAGCGGCATCGGTATCCGAGCTGCTGCCCTGGCACAAGGTCAAAGCACTGACCTTGTCCTAGAAAACAACTGGAAAGAGCCTTGAGCCTAGCTGTGCAAACAGCATTTTATATCTTCAGAAGACCTTAATCTGGCACAATTCAAGAAGTCTGTTCGTTTGCATGGAGCATAAAAAGAAAAATGGGACTAGAAGAAGCATTAGTGCTCCTGAAACACAGCTTGGGGTTACGCTGGGAGTAAGGTCAGGGCATCCTCTCTCCTGCAGTTTGGTAGAGAGGGACCCAGTGCAAAATGTTTCTAGTGGAGCAGATCTATCATCTTCACGATGTCACGTAATTCATATCCATGTACAGGGGGACAGACTGCTATCAGGCTGCTTTTTGTCATTATTTATAGTGCTGGAGGTGTAAATCAAGCCAGGTCTCTGCGATGGATTTACAGCAGGATGCCTGGTTTTGCATGATGCAGCTGTAGATCAATGAACAAAGCTCCGTTCTGGCACTTCCTTGGTCACCATCATAAATCAACCAAAGGTATTAGACATTTTTATATCGTTCTTGGCAAGATATAAACAAAAAATACACGTACATTTTAACACCCTCCCCGTGCTTGGAAAGGCGGGGTGACCTTTCAAATAGAAGTGGTTTTGTATTGTTGTTTTAGCAGGCAGTTGTGTTTGCTTCGATGCATGCAGTCTGTTGTTTGCTTTTAAAATACTTTCGCTTTCCTCATTTCTAAAATGAGGCTTTCCAAGAAAGGTACATTTCTGAGTGACTTTTCTATACATACAAAGCAAGGCCACACAGATGAGCAGGTCAAGGCCACAAGCACTGGGAGATCTTTGGACTTCATACCCAGCATGACCCCTCGCCCCAGAGAAACGAGCTCCCAGCCTTGTTCTGTTTTCTAGGAGACCCCTAGGAAATATCTGCATTTGTCCCTTTTCCCAGGTCCAACCCAGAGTATAGAAGACGGAGAAAAATGACTTTTAAAAATCTTTTGATCTAAACTGAAGCCCCAAGTCCTGCTCAGACTTTCTGGAAACCCCTACACATCTGCTGTGGTGATAAAATCGGGGGTCTGCAATCCTGGCTAAAACCATTTCCACTTACAATTACACATAGTCCCCATCTCTTGGGAGACAGAACAGTGGGCAATTTTGGTGAGACATTAAGCATCTTGGAAAACCTAAGCGTAGCAAATAACAATAATAACATATAACAATAATTAAATATATGCCACTGGGAGTGTAACGTGTAGGGTGAGTGGGAATGCTGAGTGCTGGGGACACTGAGTGGCTTTTGTGCAGCCCTGGGCAAGGGCAGTTTTAATTTCCTAAACCCTAAACAGACCCATGGGGCCTGTCAGGCCTCTGCCTGGGATCAGGCACCTGAGATGGGGGCTCAGCTGGGTTTCCCTTTGCTGCTGCTTTTTGGATCATCCCTGATGCAATTTCCCTTGCTGAGAAGAGATCCCCTCCAGAGGGGAGCAGAGCACAGAGCATTTATTTAGGGTTCATTGCCCTGTCTCTATGCGATGGGCTGACCTCGAACCCCTCTGCACGTGGGCAGGACCGATGCTGCTCGCTGTGCTCCGCTCTCAGCTGCCTCCAGGTTCCCTGCTCACTGTCCTATCGGGATGAAAATAATCCCCAGGAATGTTAAGGGGATTAGTGGCCTTGGAAGGGGCAGGTAGCCCAAGGGGGCTGGTTGCAGCTGGCTGCCCGACTCCAGCAGCTCTTCACAGGAGCAGGGGGAAGAAAAAAGACTGAAAAGAAAATTAATCCAGAGCTGTGGTGTTTAAAAGGGTTTAGGGCATCTGTCTGGGCTCCTGCCCAGCACCTGGGGATTTGCAGTGTTTCAGGAGGACGGAGGGCGTAGCAGGAGGCCCTGGTTCAGCCCCTTTTTGCAGATTTTCATGTGAAATTCCTTCCCAGGCATCTCTGTTCTGCAGCCCCTCTGCCTATGGGGTCCTGGGGCCTTGGATGCAGCTTTGGGACGAGCCTGCACGTAGGTAGCAAGCATCTCTCCTTCCCCTCGACGTCGTTTCGCTGAAGCACCCTGCAGTTCTCGCTGCTCATCATCCTTCCCCCATGACAGACACGTCATGCCTTGCATGTGCCCTCACACATCCTATAATCCAGCTGCAAACCGACTTTCTCCATGTTCAGCACCGTGCAGCCTTGTACTCCGAGGCACTGCAATGCTGTACGACTGGTTTGCAGTAAGCTTAACCTGTAAAACCGCTGGTGTAACCTTCTGCAGCACAGGTTGATGTTTAATTTTAGCTGCAGTCTATCAAGCAAATATTGTTTGCAGTCTCTTACTTGTGTTGTCTATGCTGTTTGAGTGTTGATTTTCTGACCAGACTGTTTAGAGGGAGGTTTTTCAGTCTGGATAAATAACTAGAAAAGGACCCAAACTGCTCTTTCTCAAGTGCTTTATGGGATCCTTTTCTGGGCAGAGAATGAGCCTCTACAAAATGTCATCAGCATAAAAATAGGCAGAGGGCATTATTCTGGGAAGGGGAACCAGGGTCAGATGGTGTCGTGTTCATTGTGGACCCTGTTCTTTGGTAGGAAAGATGAGACTGCTCCAAACAAGCCAGCTTAGATCAAGTTTTTCAGACCTTGTCCAGCTGAGTGACGAACATCCCCTGGGATGAAGGTCAGCAATTATTTTGGTATATGTTTTAGTGCAAGAGGAACATATTGGAAACAGGGGGAGAGCTGAGATTGTTCATTGCTGCTGCTACTGGCTGAGCACCTCCTGTGGATGTTTACAGACGGGAAATAAAACAGTCGGGTTTGGATTGTTGTGCAAATCTGGGGAATTTAGCTGGTTTGCTGGGACCAGGGGCTCTCTGCCGCACTGCTTGTGGGGACACAGGACAGTGACGCTCAAGCAATGACCTCTGCTCCCCAAAGCTTTGCAGGGAGAGCCCTCCTTTCCTGCGCTCACACACTGCACGGGGCTCTGCCTCTGAGCAGGCGAGCGGTTGCATTTCAGGGCTGCTCTCATCCTGCAAGCAGGACACCTGCTTTCAGCAGGCATTTGGTAGATTCAGAGCAGAACGAGGTACCACAGGGCCATGGTTAGGGCCATTTCAGAATGCTTTTGGGCTTGCAGAATCAGAATGGTTGAGGTTGGAAGGGACCTCTAAGAGATCATCCAGTCCAACCCCCCTGCTCGAGCAGGGACACCCAGAGCACGGGGCACAGGGTGGCATCCAGGCGAGTTTTGAGAATCGGAGCATGCTGGGGCTGTTGCTGACACTGCACGATGCATCTTAAAACCCCAACTAATCTCCTGGAGCAGAGCCGGAGCAAAATGCCGCTCGTTCCTCCACGTTAGCTTAGTGACTGCAACGGCTTAGTGCCTCCCTGAGGGATAACAGCAGTGCTGGTACGGCCGCCCCGAGGCGGCCGGGTGCTCATAGCACCCTGGTGTGAGGGGCTTGCCCTGCTTTCCACCTCCGGGACTGGTTTCTCCAGGAATGTGTCCCAAGACCCCTTGCTTGGCTCGGAGCAGCGGCAACGCCGGGGAGCCGGCTGCACGCTCCCAAGGGGAAGCGCGCGGGGCCGCTCGCAATCTATCGCGTTAAATAATTAAGCGAGCCTAATTCTGGTGCTGTAACGCTGTAACTTGAGGTGGCTGCGCGGGGCAGGGGCGGCCCCGGTGCTGTGACGGCGCTCGGGGCTCAAGGGCAGGAGGAAGGCAGCAAGGTCATGGCGCGTGGCGCTTCGGCAGCGAGCGGTGCATGAGGAAAGGCCATCATTTTTGTGGATTTTCCTTATGTTAAGTAGCACTTGAGGCTCCAGATCTGTTTTTTGTGTGTGTGTAGTTGCAGGGCCGGGAGTTTCTTCGTCACCGGTGCAACAAGTCCCAGCAGTTCCCAGCCCTGCGCTGGCCCTGTCACCCCTGTCACCTGCTAGGTTCCTGTCTCCCCGTTCCGCCAAGTGCTCGCAGGGCTGGTGCTGCTCAGCAGCACAGCCAGAGCTCCCCCATACAGGCACCCCCAGCACCCAGGGTCACCCCCATTCTGCCAGTGCCCCCAGGTCCTTCCCGCGCTCCCCAGCGCAGCCCGTGGTGCTCACAGGTAACTCCAGTGTTCCCCACCCGTCCTACCGGTCCCGAGCCCGGTGCTCTGGCCTCCGGAGGGGCCGGGAAGCAGCATGTAGCTCCGCACCCCTCTCCCCCCAGCTCGGCGGTACCTTTGGGGGCGGCGCGTTTGGGCAGCGGGTGCTCGGGGTGCAGCGGGGCCCACCTGAGCCCCAGAGCTTCGGCAGCGGCAGAGTGCAGCTTGGAGGGCTGGGCGGCATTGATTTTGCTGGTTAATAATTGCATTTAAAAGCCTCCCACAGCGATAAGCCGAGATGCTGAGCCTGGGATCCCGCTCGCTGTTAACCATTAACAAGGATATCGGGCCGTTTTGCAAACGGCCTGTGCACCAGCTCGCCTGGGTTCGTTAAGTGGTGACAGATGCTCCGCGATCTTTTTGATAATCACAAACTTGCTTTTAATACCCTGTCCAATATTTGCTCTGGGCACTGGCCAGGGTAGGAGAGCAGCACGACACCGCAGTCACGAATGATTTTTTTAAGGTAGCTCAAAGGTATTTTGCTGAATCCAGAGGGAAAAGCCCCTCTCGGAGTGGCAGTGCCAGGCTGCCATCGGTGCCGATACCCCAAGCAGCCTCATTGCTCTGCAGGAGGAAGGGACAAGCGGGAACACGGCGCTGCTCGGCCAGTGCACGGTGGCACCTGGAGCCCTTCCGAGAGGCAGAAACGGGGAATTGCCCCTTCCAACTGCTGAAGCATTAAAGGAAGTAGCTACTTTGAGCGCAGTTTACAAGCCAGTCCTCAGGGCACGAGCAGCTGTGCGGGGCTGTGTGCGGCCGGCAGGACGAGGCCGTGCGGGCCAAGCTGGCGGGCGCCCCAGGACCGTCCCGTGCGCCGCTCGCGCCGCCGCCGCGCGGGCCTTACCTGAGCGCAGCAGCGTGGCCCGCTCGACATGGCGCGACATGGCGCTGCCGCCTCCGCCGCGTCGCCTCAGCCGGAGCGGGGATGCGGCGTCACGTGGCGCCCGGCGCGGCGCGCGCCCGCCCTGCCCGCCGCTCTCGCCATCCCCGCGGCTGCCCGACGCCGCGGCCTTGCCCGGGCTGGTGGTGAGCGCCGTGCCAGGAGTTTGCTGCCTGGCGGCTCCTCGCCAGGTGATGCTTTTCCACGAGTGCCAGAAAAAAAATCCCTATATATATATATATATATATATATATATATATATATGATTTTCTTTTCTCCAAGCCCTTCTGTGTGTGCAGCGCGGCCGGGTTTCTCCGGGAGCAGCGGCCGCGCTGAGCCGGTGGCGGGGACGCAGCCCCGCTCCCGGATGGGCAACCGTCTCCTCCACGCGCTTTAAACACGCTCCCTCCCCGAGAAATCAGATCGCCCCGGAGGAAGCCGCACGCCCACTCCCTTTAGCAACCGCTGCAACAGCAGAACCCGGCGCCAGGGCAACCGCTCCCGGGATTAGTCCTGGGCGTTGCAATTATTCCCCTTGCAACATTCCCCAAACATCCTCCGGGCCCGTGATGGAGACGGCCCGGCCCTGCCGCCCTCTTTCCCTGTGGGGCCGAGCTCCTCTGCTGGCTTCGTGCTGAGCCCTCGCCATGCCGAGCTCCTGTTGGGGATCCCAGTGTGTTCCCCATCCTGGGGAACCCCTTCTCATGGTGCTGCACAGAGCCACTCACCCGAGCTGCTGCTCGCCGGCTTCCCGCTCCGGCTCTGGCCCCGGGCCTGGAGGGAATATTCCTTCTGCAAGAGAAGAGAGAGAAGTGGAGAGGGGTGAGGGCGGGAACGTGTGCCCGGCTGCGCTCGCAGGCTGAGCATCCTTCCCGGCGCGCAGGTGTTTTCTCCCAAGTTAGGCATGTGTTTGCACATCTATTCTTCTAAAATAGAAGAATATCATGAAGCACGGGAGGAACCACCAGTCTTTTGCTACTAAGATCTTTTAAGTACTTTTTATTTTATTTGTTTTCTAGCCCAGAGTTTAGTTCTGACGGACGTGGCGTCTCAACCGCAGGAGCAGAAAGACACGCTGACCTGCATTCCCCTTGGAGCGCGGTGTCTGCCTCCGCGTGCACCTTCACACACTCGTGACCACGTGCCGGTTGCAGAAGGGGCAGTGGTTTAATCAGCAACAGCCCGTGCTGCTAGGCAAGGGCTGAAGCTGCAGAGGGGTCTCCTTTAGAGCAGGGGTTGCGCTTTCCCCCTCAGCCCTTCCTGGGTTTTGTGCCCTACTGCTCCACTGGCCTCTGGCATGAGCAAGATAAACCTGAAGTTTAGGTGCTGCAGGCCTTTTGAGCAGCCTAAAGTGGAAGCGTTGAGCTTGGGTTTAGCAAGTTCCCTCAGGCCCTGCGTTAGGCTGCATAAAATACATGAGGAAAAGGGATGTTAATTGCCATGGACATAGTTGTGTCCAACGCATGGCACTGTGTGAGCAGCTCCCACGCTCAGGGTCTGCTCCTCTGCGCTGGGAAGCAGGTTTTAGGGGTGCACAGGAACTCCTGCAACCAAGGGCAGCTGGACGGCAAAGCCGGTTTGCTCGGAGTCGCATGAGCAGTGATTCACTTGGGATCTAAATTAGTAAGTGATCTCAACCAGTGCCCCGGTCTTTGGGATTAACAAAAAGCCTTTGTGTTTCTGCAGAGCTCCCTGGAGGTGGCCCTGTCAAGGCAGCCAGTTGCTAGGTGATGCTTATCTGCTGGTAAAGGGCCCCAGGCTCCTTGCAGTGTCCCCGTGTCCCAGGACCTGGTACTATGGAGAGTTCACCTTCAAGTCATCCTGCCACGTCTCGTGGCCACTGTGGCCCCTCTGACCTTGCTCTGAAAGCCGCAGAGGTCCTGTGGGTTGCCCCAAGCTGGTTCGGCTGTCTGAGGACTTTGGTGGTGGTAAAGTTCCCATTGTTGCTGTCAGAGCTCTGCGCTTGATGCCCTGGTGTCCTCCGAGGGACAGGAGGGCTGGCTATGCTGCCCGGCACAGCTCTTTCTCCTTGGCTAATCACTACTTGGACCATGGGAGTATTTGCAGAGCTGGGGTGGCTTCTCACCTCCCTCTGGCTCTGGAGGAGAAGTTAATGATTGCCCAGAGATAGAGACTTTTATCTGCTCGCCATGGGGTGAAGGGGGTGGTGGGAGTCTGCCCCCAGCCCTGGGCCGTGCTGCAGGAGTCACAGAGCTTCGTTTGCCAATGTGGGAGCGTATTGCAGCACATGGGTGGGAAACGCCTGCCTGCTATTTCCCAAGCCCCTGTGTTCTCCAAGCTGCATGCAGTGCGTCTGGGCCTTGTCACAGAGGAAGAAGTAATAATAAAATCCAGGCTCCTCCGAATGTGGCAGCCGCTGCCCCTTGGTGACCGAGGTGTGTTGGTTGTCCCAGCCTCCTCGTGCATCGCTCCGGCCCAGCAGGACAGCTGCCAGCCCAGGCTCTGTAGCGCAGCAAGGACCTCCTGCAGCAGCTCTCTTTCCAGAGGCATTTTCCCTGCTACGTGATGCTTTTAACCACCCATTCTGTAAGCAGGAATCCAGCACCACAATTCCCTGCTTGAGGAGTGCAGCACTCCTGCCGAAGTCGGAAACCGGCCTCCCTGTGTACCCCTGTAGGCAGTGTTGCTTGTTCGACATGGTGCTCTACTATTAACGTTCAGCAAAATTAATAGCCCGCTGTTGTGGATCATGCTTGTGCTTTGATGAAAGTGGTTAGAGAAGTGAGCTGCCAGCAGGGTCAGACTCCAAGCCACGGAAAGGGAGATAAGAGTGGCTGCAGGCAAGGTTAGACCGATGCAAGAGCCACTCACAGCATCTGTGTTGCACTGCAGTCAACGCCTGAACTAATAAATGAAATTGTGCAATCAGACCAGGGTGCTGGGGAGGTACTAAGGTGGGCAGGACACCACCCACTGAAGACGCCGGCGGCCTCATGTGAAGCTCCTGCAGACATGGGTTTGGTGAGGACAGCACCATTGGCAGGGGTGGAAGGTACCAGCCTGCTCAGGAGCAGAGCTGCTCAGAGAAATGTACTTTACTCCTCAGTTGCTCCAGCAAGTGCTGACCTTGGTGTTGGGTGAATGAGATCCATTGATTGCAATAGTCTTATTGCTTAGCCCAGAGTCTTTGAAGGAGTTGGTGGTGACCTGAAACAAGGTATTGGTAGCTGGTAGATCAAAGGCGGTATTTCTGCGCAATGAAGGCACAAAACATGAGATTTAATGATTAGCCAAATTGCTCTACCGTTGCTCAAAATAGCATCCTCTAGCTGCTGCCAATGCTCTGTACGACAACATCTCTCACATGGCCCTGGGTACAGAGGTGTTATTTAAACTGTTGCCTAATGTATAGTTGCTGATTTCTGCTCTACCTGTGCTTACTTGCAGCACCTGAGACTGATCCAAACCTCCATGAAATCGTCCGCTGGAAGAAGCCTTTGAGGACAAGTAGGACTTTTCTCCATCCATGGTGGAAAGGCACAGAAATCTGCCAGCTCCTTGGCTGCTTTCCTGCACTGCCTTCCTGTGTGAGCTGCCCTGTTATTTAATTCAGCAAGTTGGTGCAGACCTTTGCCTAGATGATGCCATTGTCCTTTTCGGGAGAAACATGAGCAAAATGAGCATGTCCCAGCACTGCAAATCAGGGCTAGCTTCGAGCTGGAGATGACATGGGGAAGAATCAGGAAGGAGAGGTAAGCAGGTGTGGAGATAGGTCCCTCCTGAGCCCCGCACACTGTGCTGTGCCCCCCGACATAGCAGCTATGGGGGTTGTCACCGCCGTCAGAAGCGATGTTTTCCCGGGGCAGAAGGATGCTCTGTGCGCTGGGGTTACTGCCGGCTTGACGGTGCACATTCCTCTGCTCTAAGCTCACTACGGGACAAAGTTGTTTTGGCAGCTTTTGTATTCGAGACTGGCAGGCACCCAGAAACCGGTATCGGGGCCCAGGCAGGCGCTCCTGAGCCAGCAGCCGTGAAATCTGCTGTCCTGGCGGGCGCAGCGCGAGTCCCATCCCAGCTTGTCCCTGGTTTGGGTGCCCCCGATCACCATCCTCGCATGGCCCTTGCAGCCCCCCTGCCCATGGAGGGTCAGGTCTTTCAAGCACTGCTGGTGGCTGGTGCTGCTCCTGGGCCCTGGCCATGCCACAGCCAACCTCACTATCGTATTGCAAATGACCGTGAGAAGCGGTGAGCTCTGGTGTGGGGTTTCATTGCCGAGCTCCTGACCTGCACAAATCTGCAGCGTTTGATGAGCTGACGCGGAGTTTTGCTTTCCACTATGACCATGGCAATTTGTGAAGTTAAGCCTGCCCAAGGAGGCTAGGCTCTAGGTCCCATTATGGGGCTGGTCTGTGTTACGGCTGCCCCAGTGGCTCGCAGGGAGCAGCAGCCAGGTGGCCACGTTGCGACCTATTCGAGTAGAAAATTGCTAATGAAATAGATAATTTGAAAGGGCGCTTTGTGTTATCTTGCTCATAACAAAACCACTGTTTGTCACAGCCAAGCACTGCGCTGGCCCTTGTGCTCCTGCCTTGCACCCGAGCGCTCACGACTGGCCTGGCCCTGCAGCCCCAAACTGGTAAAATGGGACCAATTGGGAGCGCAGGGGAAAGCCTCGCTGGAGCCGCCGTGGGGATGCGGCTGCACAGGGTTTTCCAGCGGGTTAACGAGCAAGCAGCAACGGGGTCTGGCCTCCCGTTGTGAGGAGGGCTGGGGGTCTGCGCAACTCGGGAAAAGCGTTGGTCTGCGGCGCTGAGGTGACGTGAGGGGCCGAGGGAAGCACTGTGAATGGAAACCTGCTCATCCAGCTCTGCTACGTGGTTTCCTTTGGAGCAGGGTCCCCCTGAGCAGCATCACACACCCCGTGGCACAACCAGCACCTGCTTGATCCTGCCGCAGGTGCAAGTGCTCGTGAGGGACAGGGAAGGCAGAGCTCCAGCCATGGGCAAACTGGCTGGCACTGAGCCCCCATGGCCCCTCTCTGGTAGAAACCCCATCTGCTTTGGGGGCAGCTCTCATGGCTTCCTTGTCTGCCCTGCTCAGTGCTGCTGGGTGCTCCGTGTCCCTGAGCTGGGATCCCCTTCCCGCTGCCATTCTCTGCTGGCTTCCTTGCTGGGATGATGCTCACTTGCTGCATCCAGGGGTTCTGCCCCGTTGCTGTCACCAGGGGGTGCGGGTGGCCCAGCTCTGTGTGCTCCCAAGTGCCTCTTGCCTTATCTCCCTTCTCCATTTTAATTTAAGTGTAATAGATCTTTTGCCTTGCTGGGCTGCCTGAGCGAAGGGCAGCCCTGGTGTGGGAGTGGGTGGTAGTCTCTTCCCTAAGCCCCCGGGGAAGCCTTCACACCCTGTTGCAGTTGAGCACTGAAAAGGCCTAAAGCAAGGTCTGCTTAATGGGATTCCCTCAGGGCCTCCAGCGGGGAACCTTCAAAGGGCTCATGAGGAGGATGGAAGGAGGCAGCAGCACAAAGCGGGATCAGAGGCCTCCTGTCAAGAGCTTGGTCGACGTGGCATCAGACACAGGCGCTGCCCCGTGAGCCTGAGCTGTTGTTTTCCTGCCCGGGCTATTTTTGCTCCGCGCTGGGCGGCTCATCGGTGATCTCCCCTATCCCATTAGGCACTCGTGACGCACAGAGTCATCGGCTTTCCCTCCCGGGGGCTGCCGCAAAGCCCTTCTCCCTCCCAACAGCGCAGCGCTCCCCGCGACGCCCCGGGACGCTGGAGCGCCGCGGCTCCCGTTTGCATCCGCTGCTTTGGAATTGCTCTCGCTGCCGGCGCCGCGGAACAACCGGTGCCATTGAGGGGCTGTCAGCGGGACTCGCGCTGCCCGCGGGCCTTGGCAGCGGCAGCCCCGGCCCTCAAAGCGGAAGCAAGGGACCCCGATGCCAGCGGCTGCGGCCGCTTTCCCAGCCACAAAACGGGTGAGATCCCTGAGCAGGCTCTTGTGCTGGCCGGAGGCTTTGAAAGGGCTGGCGTGAGCACAGGCTCCTGGGCTCCTAAATAGCCCTGCGAGAGAGCTAGGAAAATCCTGGACGTGCCTGCCAGCCGGGGGCAAGCGCAGGGTCCCCTCTCCCCGGGGTCCCGTGTTGTCATCACTCTGTAATCCCATTGTAGAGTGGCCTGTAAGTATCTCAATGTATAAATATCTACCTGTATAGCAGGGAAATACTGTAGGAAGGATGAAGTGTCTCGGGAAGACCTTGGAGGGACATGTGAGGAAGAATGGGAGCTGCTAGGAAACGGGCAAGGAGAGGGCAGGGCTGGTCACCTTTTAGGTTTTTTATGGGATTATTGTACACAGTGAATGAAAATGGTAGCAGAGGCTGCTCTTGTGCACCGGGGCCTTAGATCATGTCACCTCCTTCAGGTGCCCTGTGTGTCTTCCCATGGCAAATCTCTTTAGGCCACTTTAGGCAGCCGAGTTGCCCTGTGTGCAAAGGGCTGCTCAGATCCATGGAATGGACATCCACGTTGGCACATCTGCCCATCGGGGGCTGCAGAGGGGAGCCACTTGCTCAGCATTAAGTGTCAACGGAGAAAATGTGTTCCCTGCCTCCTGCCTCTTACAGAGTGGGTGGAAAATCCAGAAAAACACCCTCTCACTGCCACGCTCCTCGTGTACTGAAGCAGCAGGTGCAGCAGATGCCTTGTGAAAATCAAGAGCATCCCCCGAGAGCCCGAACCCCCCGGGGCCCTCTGCTCCCCAGCAGAGCTGCCCAAGGGCCGGGTGCTGCCCGCCAGTCTGGAGCCTCCCCCTGCTCCAGAGGGTGATTATTCCCCCAGCTTTTGCAGAGGAATACACATATATATTTATTTTTAGGAGCTGCTCTTTATTGCAGAGCTGAAGTGGGTTTTTTTTTTTTCTGTGCCTGTGTGTTTAAGCCTTCGTCTCTGGCGTTGTGTGAATAACATGTGTTTTATCGCTGGTGAGAAAACTCCATAAAAGTGCAATGAGACGCGTTGGCACAGCAGGAGCTGGGGACTGCTGAGTGAGAGCAGCGCTGCCGCACTGAGACCTTCCCAATGTCCCCCGAGGCCCCACTCCTGTCCCGTCCCTTTGCTGCTGGCACGAGGCCTTTCCAGGGCACAGGGAGACGGGTCTGCTGGTGCCTGAGGCCTCTCTGCCAGTGCTGGCCGGCTGCCCCCTCTCCTTGTTATTTCAAACCAGCGGCGGAGCAAAGCTCGGCAGGGAGCCTAATCTCAGCTCATCTGACGCGAGTGAAAACCGACCCTCTTGGGAATTTGGGGACAGGAAACTTTCCCTGGAGAAACGGCCCTGTTGCTTGCCTGCTATGCGGAGCTCCTGGCCAGGGGCTGCCTTGCAAATCCTGCCCCAAGACAGCAGAGCCCGTGCTGGAGCAAAGGGCGCTCGGGCCGAGCACGACATCCTGAGCCTGTGTCCCGCTGCTGCCTTGTGCCCGTGCGAGCGTGGACATGTCAGGAAGGGGCTTTGGGAGCAGCTGCAGCCTTTGCAAGCAGGAATGTCCCCTCTCAACAGCTGCCCTGACATCCTGCTCCCTGTAACCCTCATGCTGCTTGTCAGGTGTAAATTGGACTGAGAGGCACCGTGGCAGTGTTGGGGCGAGGTGCGGAGCAGCAGCGCAGCGCTCAGCCCCTTTGCCTGTGTACCCTGGAAACGTGCGCCAAGAAGCCTTGTGCCCAGCGCCAAGAAGCCTTGTGCCCAGCGCCAAGGAGCCTTTGCTGCAACTCGGGCAGGCCCTGGCCAGGGGTAAAGCCCCGACCCTCCGTCCAGCATCACTACTCAGGACCAGTCGCACTGGGAACACACTGGGTCCGGCCGGGACCGAGGTGCAAGTGAAATCTGTGACCCTCTCGTGCTCACTAAAGAAATACCTCAAAGCTTTCTGGCAAGTCCCTACCGCCGGTCCCTTTCAAAGCCAGGCCACTTCAGCATCGCAATTCCAGGAAGAAGGAGCAAAGGGGAAAGCTGTCCAAAAGCTCCTGCCCGGGGGGCAGGGGAGGATGGAGTTGATTGATAGCTTTGAATGCAGCAAAGCCCCGCGCGGGTGGCCTGGAGCCAAGCCTGCCTCCCCGGCTCCTTTCCCTGGGTTCAATAGCAGCCGTGCAATGTGCCCACGTCCGGAGGACGCGGAGCTGGAGCCACGTGAGCGATGGCTGGGGACTGGCCACAGGCGTGCGGGAAGCTCTGCAGCACCTGCTTGGGATGGGACTCCCTTCAATCCTTGTTTTTAGGCTCGCGACCACCTTCCCCTGCCTCCCATGGCAAAGACGAGAGTCCACGCTGGGAAAGCACATCTTGGGAGGAAAGCAGAGCTCCTCGGGGCAGCTGATGCTCTCAGAGAAGGAGGGACAACGTGATGGAGACCAGAGGGGCATGGCCCAAGCTGCCTGCTCTGCACCCACCAGGTCTGCTCTAAGGCTCGCAACAAGAAGCGGAGAAGTTTCCCCTCAGGCTCTGTCACCTGTTTGGTAAATTCCCGCTGAAGTGGCCCTGAGGGGCCATTCCCAAAGCGGCCCGCATGCCGTGCCGGGCTCGCTCCCGACGATCCCATGAG